CCCTGGCTATCTCACTCACCAGACGAAACACAAAAGTGTAACACGTCTACTTTACGCCAGTCTTCTGTGAGGTCGTGGTACTTACCCGGACGGACCTGCCCATTTGTGCAATTACACAGACTGTTGCGTGGCTCTAGCACTGTTAGATCCTACTTCGATCGTCATTGTTTTTGAAACTCAAGTTCGAACTTTATTTCGTTTCTAGTGGACATTATTTGTATTAGTGTTATATTTGTATATAGTGTTTCGTTCTACTAAATGAAACAATTTTACGGTTTTATCACGTTTATTTTTAATTTGAATTGTAGACATTTAACAGCGTTCATGGTCACGGGACAGACTGAGGCGTTATTTGTATGTCATTGTTAACCCGTGCTTCAGCTAGTTTTTGAAAAATCGTATGTTCGATCTACGCAGAAGATGCTAATCTAATCTTGCCTTGCAGTAGTGGTTCGTTTGGGCCTAGATTTAATTTTATTGCTAATAATATTCCAAGCAAATTTTTAGGGCTAAATAATACACGAGTAGAAATAATGTGTGGTGTTCGCGGAAATATCATTATCAAGCATGGACAAATATTATGGAATCATCATGAAGCAATTGACTAAGTATGTGTTTGTGGCAATTACAACTCTAATACGTTGATACAAGCACTGACTATAGCAATTAAAATACTCGATGTAATACCAAAACGCTTACAAGTATGAATGAAAAACACGTTATAATTAAAAATAACGAACAATCAATTTATAGCGAGCACTTAAAATGGATTATCTATCAGTTCAAATCTCCTTTAAATACAAATCTGAACTTTAAAGAATCAATTTTACCATGCAAATATAAAAATAAATGTGTTAAAACAGCCTAGACAAAGGAAAATGTCAAAATCTATGAACATTTTATGAACGTTCAAATATTTTTTACAATTATACAAATATAATTTTGATGACTCCGTGGCGCTTTTGCCAACGTATTGGCTTCGGCGTCGGGGGTCGTGGGTTCGATCCCCACACGGGACAACTATTTGTCTGACCCACAGATAGTAGTTTTGCATCTGGGTGTTTGTCCACGTGAAATTTATGTATGTAAAACGTCCTTACAACACAGTATAATGTTATCCTAAAGTAAGGGCTACGTTTTATTTAAAAAAAAGCAATTATAACTTACGAGCCCTATAAACCTATGGCACGACGTCTAACCTTATAATTAGTAAATTAACCATTTCATTGGTGTCAGCACCGGTTACTAAACTCAGGTTACTCGAGTATATTGAATTAATAGCGAGTGCCCGGACAACGAGCTACCTCGTCTGCAGTTCAATACAACGTTTCTTAGACGAATTCATAAAGCAAATACAAATACACTAACTGCATAATACGCATAATTGAAAAAGCCCCAAACCCGTGGGTTCTGGCTAGCCCACCGGTTCTGCGTCAGATGAAGCTTTAATAGTCTCGGGACTGAAAGCAAAAACATCAGTTAATACAAGGTACAAGAATTGAAAAAGCTAATGCCGCATGAAGATACACGCGGAAGGAATTCTACCGGTCCACCTAGCTGACGCAGATGCATTGTAGATAGCAATTAAATTTTTATGGCCCCTCTATCTAGGGGACTAGGTAATTGGCGTTAGGAGTCGTTACGACTAAACAGCCGGTTGCCTCGCGTCCATAAATCACGGCGGAGCGGCGTTGACGGTCCTTGTCTGTTTACGTGTCTGGCAGGTGACGGATGCCCTAATATACTCAATCACGGCTGGTATTGCTTGGTGGCGTTGCTCGGTTTCATTGCGTTCGCGGGTTCGATTACCTGACCACGTGGAGTTGTTTGTTTTTTTGGCCATTCCGCAAAGCGTTGAGCCCAACTTTTACTTATGTACCTGACAGTAGATGACGCAGGTGGTAGATATTTTTGCCGAAAACAAATTACACTTTCTAATAACTTTTAAGTTTAATATTTATTAAAGTTACTCTACTATTCGACATGTCATCCATTTTCCTTTCAAGCTTCCTTTTAACTAAGTTATTTTAAACTCACCTTAGAATCCGATAGCTTTGATTTGGGAAAAAACAAGAGAAAAACATATTAATAGAAATGCATGAATTATTAGTGTTTAAAACACGTCGGATGTGATTGCGATCCACCCAATGAAGTCAAGTGTTAGCAAAAGGCGGAATTAATTTTACTTACTATATAAGCGTTATTATTCGAAGTAATTGTGTTTCGTATTAAAGATATATTCAGCCTTGTTACACTACAGACCCAGAAGTTAACGGAAATGGATATATTGCATCTTTGCGTTAACGTTTTTAAAAATAGTGATAGCGGGCCGCTAATAAATTTCAGCACATGCAGTTAGAGACTTTGTGTGAAGAAGATTTTGGTTAAGGGATAAGACAAGATGAAAATAAAACGATGAAAAAAAAACCACACTTAACGAAACGCTGAAAATCAACTTTATTTAACTTTGCCCCATCAAAATTTACACCGCACATTATTAACATTATTAAGAAACTAGACATAATCTTAGATATTAACTACAAAATATTTTACTTTAGAACAGTTTTCGAGGATATAACTTAGATACCTACATGACGTAACGTACGTAACTTCGTACTTTAACGAGACCCATTGGTCTTTCCAATGGAGTGGCATTATAATGTATGTATGGCATATAAATAAGTATGGCATAACTAATGACACTTTAGTAGACTATACATGTATATTATATCTTAAATCATTTAGAAAAGTTATTCTTAAACGGAGTATTCTTTACACTCACAAAAGCACATCCCTAAACCTTTTAACCCTTATAATAGACAAAAAAATATATATATATAAAATTAAAAGGTTTCAAGACGATATCCGAATAGTTTACGACTAGGGATCTATCAGATCAGCTCACCGCCTGTGACTTTTAGTGCCAAAGTCGAAAGAAAAAAGAAAAACATAGAGAAGACAAGCTTGGTTAACCGCTGATACAATATCATTAACTATACCTGTAAACAAGGATTGCTGCGAAGCTAGTTACAGAGAGTATAATTCATTCCAAAAGAACCTTCAATATAATCTATCTGTAAAAATATCGTGATTACCTTCTAATTACGAATCCTTTAATGGTTTTCTTACAGATTCCTTGAATTAGTAGATCGCACCTATTCTGCGTTACCGATTATCTGATATTGAGAAACACAATCAATCTATGGAACCACGATCGATTAAAAACCTATTAAGGCTACTAAGTTTTGAGACGGTCACGATATTATCCTATCCAAAACCACAGGAAAAAAATTCTCCTGCAGAAGGTCAGGTTATCAATCAGCCTCGAGTGACAAATGTCGATAATAAACTGATCAAGTTATTACATCAAGCCGTAAAGGCTTACAGAAACTTAAAGTGGTGTTTTCTAAACCTAGATTTGTACTAGTTCCATTCGCCAAAGTTCGTTGGCAATTTGGACCGATAAAAGAGAAAGGTTAAGGCTCAGGTCTATTATATATATTTACATATTATATACATGTCTATTATATATTTTTATATAAGATGTAACATATAAGTCTGAGCCAAATGCATTAATAAATAACAATTATTATGGAAGAACAGTGATCTAAAATCTTATTACAAACACTTATCCAAACGTGTAGTACATACAAGTTTGAATTCAAATCTACCACTCGTGAATAGTCAGATACACTCAACACTCCGTCGTTTTACATGAACTTAAAAGCTCATGATAAAAATTACAAATCTTCTTGAGTTAAAATCTCGACTTTTAATGCCCACTTCAAGAATTTATGTTCCAATTAAATTTTGTTTATCATTTAACTTGTTACACGGACGACTTATTTCGGGAATTGCGAATAAATGCCATGATGTGAGGATTTATATATTGTAAATGATGATTTTATTTGCTTGGGATGAGCAGAAAACAAGTAACTGAGGATCGTGGGTTCTCTTCCTGTTAATATTAGTATCTTATGGTAATAATTATGTCCTTATTATCTGATATGAGCAATTCGTATGAGTGACGAGACCAATCTAGAAAAAAAGACGAAATCTATTGGGTCTATCTTGACAAAAGTTCACAGCTGTAATACATAATGTTTCCAGTTAACGGAAAAGGTAATTTAATATCTGCCTAGCCGGTTAATAACATGTACAATATTGACACCACTCTTGTCACCTACTGTTAAATACTCTTAATATAAGACTAATATTACTGTTACCACTATTATCCATCTACCGCTTTATACAACCGAACTAGAATTAAAGAAAAGATTTTATGACAGTCGAATTTGAAACATCGAGGGGTTATTAATTAATAAAACAGACAAAACTAGAAGACATAAGTTACCGTAATATTTAGGTTTGAAAGCATCAGCTTATTGTATAAATAAATCGGTAACATTAACCAAGAAACAAAAATGTTCATAAAATGAAAACCACTGGGCCACACTATGTTAAATTTTTATGGGACCAAATGGCAACTGTTCCGCATGAAACTAAAGAAGAATCACGTAAATCGGGTCATAAATCTCAGCATAGTCGGTGTATGTACATAAAAAACCTCTTCCTTTTCCCGGTTAAAAAGATTAATAAGACCGAAGATATGACGCCTAATCGTAAGCAAGCAAAGAGACTGCATAATATTTTCAAGGTTCGGACGCATCAACGTCGTGACTCATGCTACGATTGCATATATGCAATATAATTTGGAAGTCAAATTCAAACTAGATTCGTAATAAATCTCGCTTTTCAAATAGACTTATAAAAACCGTTAGTAGTCTGTATTATGAAAAGGCTGAACAAACCATTTTTATGGGTGTGACGCACAACCATTTCAAGCAACGTAAATAAAAAGAATTCTGACTAGAAAACATTACAGCCTCATAAAAACTGTGCTACGCGTAACTTTAAGTATTGTGGACCCTGGTACTAGCCATTTTAATCTTACTATATGGCTCCCTAGCCAGGTGACGTCACAACTGCCACGTTATTCGATGAGCCAGCCCAAACTTCTGCCGACAGTCGCTCAACTAGCGGACTTAAAAATTCGCCAGGGTCACCTGCGGCACCGCGATGCACGCCCCGCTTGGACCGGTCGCGGCGACCCAGATACGATCTTTGCCAGCCTTGATCTCGCTTCACTGTACGAGCGGCCCGAATGCTCAACAAGTCGCGTCTCGGTCGACAGATGGCGTTGCTGATTTTGTGGTTAAAATCTTTACCCTGGGTAGTGTACAGTTCAATACATCCAGTAAGATCTAATCAGTTCACAAAGATATAATTATTGATATAATGATTGAGTACCCAGGGTCGATTTAATACTTTAATACTTATAGAAAATACTTTTTAGCATTAGGATTACCTTTGTGGACGTGAACAGTAAAGTTTATAATAAATAGTTGGAGATATCAGTAGCCAACAGTCTCTCGGTAAAGCGAATCGCAGATGAGTTTGTCAATATTTAAGACATCACTGTTATCATTAAACAGACATAACTCATAGATTCTTCAGCGTCACACCGATATTCCGTGAGACCGTGACGTTACCGGTTATAGCAACATAAGACACATGGCTCTAACCCTGTAGAAAAAAGCAAAGATTCGCTGGGCCGGAATCCAAAACATTTGGCGAACAATAGACGAGAGCACCTTGCCAGGCCTAGCGTGGGCAGCGCGAAATAACGGCGAAATTGTGTCAACCGCATTCGACCTCCGCGCCGAGTGAGGTGTGCAAGTTATAAGCTACGACTTTATAAAAATCCACCCAACTGGCCGGTCATGAGAAGCGGTTTGAAGTAAAAATCTTAATTATTTATAAATAAACGCTCACGGTCCGTGTGCAATTCCACTATTAACGCGTTTAGCGTTAAGGTAAAACGACAAGCATAAAGTGTGACTCGAAGAACAAAATTACATGTATGGTAAATTAGATTGTTTGGTTTCTTAAAATACACGACATTTGTGATTAGTTCAAAATTTCGATCTTCACAATTCCACGGTAACTAACTACGTAACGCTTCTACAGAAAATCACCACTTCTTCCTTCTTTAATTATTTTAAGTATTTTAACATCTACAATTACCCACGAGCAAACAGTTCACTGTTTTTCCAATATGAGATGCATCTATCAGCACCATATTCTAACTTGTAAGATCGCTTATGATAATTAATCCTTAATGCAGACTTTTTGCAACTTTCAATAAACACATTAATTCAAGCTATTTCACTTTAATAAAACTGTGACATAATATTTCGAGAGCTTTTATTTGCAACGGGAGACAACGATACACGCAGATCAACAAACAATCAACGGCAATCCACACAGAAAATGCGCTTCAACGAAAATCAACTATATGGAGACACTTAGAAACTGTTTTTGCGCAACCTTAAAATTCAAGTAGCCATCAAACAACAAACCACACACATGCATAGACAGACCTTTCGGAGTAAACATCTCGGCACTACCAACCTGAAAATTTAACAACACCAATTAATTCCATTGCAGTTGGCAATTTGTAAATAAAATGACAAATTTATTAATTCGATGACTCGTGGCGCAGTGGCCAAGGTATTACTGGCTTCGGCGTCGGGGGTCATGGGTTCGATTCTCACACGGGAGAACTGTTTGTACGACCCGCAGATATTTGTTTCGGATGTGGGTGTTTGTACACGTGAAATTTGTGTTTGTAAAACGTCCTTACAACACAATATAGTGTTATCCTAAAGTAAGGGCAGTGTTTTTTAAAAAAAAAATAACAAAAAAGAATATGAACTATTGCCTAGCGTAAGTGTTTTTAATCCCACCGTTCGTTAAGTTGAGGTTTTAATGTCTTCTAAATGTTAATTGAACATTATCTTACTCAAGTTTTAAGATTTTCTTGAACAAATAAATTATTTAAACATTTCGTGGAGTGAATAAAACGATTTTTACTATATTAAACGTAAACATTGAATTAAAACTGAAAATTTACGTGCCGCATGATTTTTTTATCAATTAATATTTTATTGATTACTGTCAGTATATTGAACCGCTAACACTAGTTGTTACGAAGAGGTAGGTAATTTAGTTTGCTCGTTTAACGTAAGAGACGGTGGTAATAAAACTTTCGGGACCTTTAGTTTAATAAATATCTGCGATAACATTGTTCTCTTATCAACGACTGTACTGGTTGAAGTTTTATTGTTATTACTCCTAACATAATCTGCATTAGCAAACTCGTCAACATTATCTGCTGAAACTCAGACAATATTGAATAGAAAGTATACTAAAACGCAGAAAACTTAGTTAAGTAACTATATCTAAAATAGATTGTAAACTATCATCGATAATCCAGTCAATTAGACATTTTAAGTTACTACTTTTATTTTAGAACATTAATTGTAAATAAATTATTTTACAACATTTACAACATTAATATTTTACAATTTTGTTACCAAATTGATTCAAACAAAAAAACAAAAGTAGATTATCTGTATTATCTTGTAGGCCTATAGTAGTATGGTTCACAACAATTACTCCGTGTAAGGAGCGCTATCTGGAATACAAACGTTAATATCTAGAGAAAAAATACGTGCGGCAACCAGCCTCTCGCTATGACTAATAGATGAAAGATAAAAACCGGCCAAGCGCGAGTCGGAGTCGCGCACGTAGTGTTCTGTACCATTATCTTTAAAAGCGGCAAAAAAAATCATGTAAGTCGTATGGGAGCAACACTAAAATATTTTTTACTGTATTTGTTGTTATAGCGGCAACATAAATACATCACCTGTGAAAATTTCAACTGTCTAGCTATCACGGTTCATGATATACAGCCTGGTGACAGACGGACAGGCAGACAGCGGAGTCTTAGCAAAAGGGTCCCGTTTTGCCCTTTAGGTATGGAACCCTAACAATTAAGTTTTGCTTTTTACTCGTAAACGGCTTAGTAGTAGGCGATTGTTAAAAGGTCTAATCTTGACGGTTCATACGAGTTAAAGCTTTTTGACCTTGTCGAATTTTCAGCCAGCGAATTTTGGACTGGAACTTTCATCAATAGGTTCTTCTGATTTAACTGGCGGTACTTTTAAGTTATTTCATTTTGTACGTTGTAACAGGTTGGCTTCCTAATTCATAAGATTCGATCATAATTATTTCGTCGTGTTTCTTGAGCAACATTTTGGTAGAAAGTGATTTTTATTTATTTATTTATACTTTATTGCAACCTTTAAATAAAAAGGATTACAAAGGACGAACTTAATGCCTTTTGGCATTCTCTTCCAGTCAGATTTTCTATACCTTTGTGATTCAAATCTGTATGACTTTAATTGACTTCTTTTCTTTTTTTTTTTTTTTCAAAACTATATTAGCACAGATCAGTTTGAATTTAAATTCGGATCACTTTGATGTGATATGGGCGTATAAATACCATTCGGCAATCCTGACTTTCTGACATCAAATTTGGTAACAAATCATTTTACCCGAGAGTGCTGACAGAAATAATAGTGATGGAACACATCGAGAGGCGAAACACATAGCAATATGTCTCTGTCAAACAGCGCAGTGCCAAGTACGAGTGATCTTTAATCAAACAGAAAAAATTCACAGGAATTCCCCTCTTTGCTCGACCCTTTCACACTATTAACAGTCTAAACAACATAACAATGTTGATATAACCGTTGCTTGTAAACATAAAAGCATCAGCGAAAACGTTCATGTTTCTATCGTGAACAAAAGCAGGCGGGAGCGTAACTTATTCCCATTAGCAACTAATTGAGCCCGAACGAGGGTAAAGCTAGACTAATGTTCGTCGTTAATTCTCGGCATCACCTGGGAATTCAGTTCGAGGCATTAATTCGCAGATATCTAAACCGGCCTAATGTATACCGCGTGTGTTGACCTCAGCTATGCGTCTAGGGATTCCTGTTGGCGAGCGTTATCACAGCTCGAGCTGAATCTACGCCCGAACCCATAAAGCAAACTGCGCCATTAATATTTATAATATGTGCACCGTATATCACACAGGTCGGTTGCGACGCGTTTCTACAGAGGATTTTGAGTCTTACCGTCGCCGTTTAAAAAGACTATTATGACCTGTACGGTGCAGGCGGGACCCTACGTCTACGCTGGCTAGCGTTACTAGTATGCAAGCGATATATTGGTATTTTTTAATGAATCTCAAAGGGCGTGGCGTCAAGTTTGTAATGCTCACGTCCCGACATGTGTATGTTCAGCTCTCAGTCATTTGCGAGCGATTTAAATACGTCTGCATAATGCAATGAGCGCTAGAAAACGTGAGGTGAAACGGCCTTGTCTGGCGATTTTTTGCGCTGTGACGTTACTCAGTAATTTCTTAATAGCCTTTATTAGTTCCAACTGGGGTCTTTTGCTAGCGTGATGGCTGATTAAGTCTGGTAGCAGAATACAGTCGCAGCTTTTGCTACTAATGTTTGTTTATTTTTTAATGTCGTTTCTGTGTGGTCTTATGTGGTACAAAGCTGAAATATATTCGGTGATTCGTGTAATAGGGGTATATGAATTAAAAGTCCGAATGCTTATTTATCTCGTGATCAGCGGTAAAGAAAAACATCGTAAAGAAACCTACATATTTTCAAAATAATAACAAAAAAAAATTATATCTTCCACCAATACGCAGTGGTCGCAGGGTATAGATGAAATATGCCTTGGAGCCCTATGTACAGATAAGGCCTTTGCTCAGCAGTGGGACAAACATAGGCTTACTTAGGGATAAACGATTTTAGCTAGATATCATTTGATCGTTGCAGGTTTTCATGACTTTTACTCTTTAAAGTAACACATTTCAATGATTGCTGCGTGTAAATAGAATTCAAAAGCCGCCCTAGCGTATACAGACGTTCGCAAGAAATCCACATCAACTCCGTTGCATATATTAGGTGTCTTAGGAAAATTAATATTAATTTCTAACATTTCCCCGTGGCGATAAACTATCCCACAAAAGGTTAGTTCAATAAGTGGCATGCGCTCAACGCACCGTTGTACCGGGTGTTTTTATTGAAATCAATGGGCCGTCGCGAAGTGAATTCTCTAATCGAGCCCAAGCACGTGAATGCGTATCTCGAAGAGCTGTGCGAGAACAAAGCTGACGACACTAATTGATTACACAGCAATCGACGCGCCACGGTGCGCGTAAAATTGAATTTTCAACTCAGAGATTATTTACTAGTGTATAATTAACGTATCA